AGTGAATGGCAGCGCTGGTAGGGCGCGTGCACGTCTCGCGTGCTAACCCCCTACCCGGAAATGCAAAATCACGTATATATATATATATATATATATATATATATATACGTGATTTTGTGCACCCCTGCTGCCCTGTAGCAGTACATCTGCATCTGCTACAGGGCGGCGGGAAAGCTCTTAATATCACTTAAGGTAAAAAATGTTTAGGCTTTAGAACCACTTTACGTACACATACATGACATACATATATGAATAGATAATGAATGCAGGATAATGGAGGTGATTATCAAACAGAAAACAATCCAACAATCAAACCCCTTCCTACCGTAAATCTGCTGCAGCTGCTAATCTGATACTAATCAATGATTTAGTCCATTGTAAGAGGAAGGGGCAGACTCAGATGTAAACACTACACTGTTTACACGTGTGATCACTGTGATTGGTCATTACAGCGATCACATGGTACAGAGATGCCCCAATTAGCTCTGTGCTTGGTGCCTATGAACCGAGTTATGCAGTGATGGCTCACATAACAGCCATTAAAGGGTGTACTGGCTGCCCAAGGGTTTTTTAATACCAGCACTGCAGAAATAAGGGTCCACCACTTCTCCATTCATATACGTATAGCAGTACATATATGGTTAATACCTTTCATTGGCCTTTTGTGCCAGAATCTCAGTGCTCCCAAAAACAAACCCGACTTATTCTCAACTGGCAAATGATCAGGTATGTTGAACATGGAAGAGACTTCTAATTAAACATTGAATAATTATCATCGACCTGGAATTGAAGATGAATCACTTTTTTTTTGTGAAAATGCTAATTCCAGGTTTTGCATTTGGAGACGAACAGCTGTGTTATATTTTCCACGGAATTCAAAGAGTAATTAAATCCCTTTCCAGCTCAAACTTTTAATTGTTTTTACACATGCTTTGGCTTGGCAGAACACAGGGAGAAAAAATCTAATCAAGGATTGAAAATGACACACTTAGAATGCCATACACCAATGATTATCATTTTAAATGTAAATGATTAGCTGGGGCAGACATGAAGCCCGACGCACAAGTCTCCAAATGTATTAAGTCACCTGGATCCAAATTAACCCAGCGGGGGGATTACTCCTGAAACAAACACGGGGAGAGACTTGGTTGATTGAATTGGGACTTTTACTGCCGATGATGGGAGGCACAATTAATAGCACCATGGAACCAATTCAAGAGAAACTATGTTTTTAAAATAGATATACATGTGAAAGCAGTCAAGTAAAGTAGATCATAACTGGATGATATTTTATTTACTAACTTTTGTCATTATTTTTTGTAACTCTGTGCTGCTGATCCTCTTCTACGTGCACATGATCCAGTGTCAGCTGCATATCATTTGTAAGGACTTGTAGACCAAGCACAATGACCTCCTGAGGGCCCCTTGTAGTCTTCACCAAAGATGCATTGACTGGCTGACAATGCAGGAGCACAGTTGGGAGACAGTCATCCCATAACAGAAAGTACCAGGATAAGGATTTACTGATTAAAATTATGCACTTAGGTGCCAAAAACACATGCAAATTACACATTATGAGGGGCTCCCCTGGGAGAACTGGGTGATAGAAAAGTCCACTATTTTTTTTTGCTTCACGCATGGCTTTACATTATCTAAGATCATCTATGTCACAGTAATATCTACACACTGATTTATATCATTAGCGCAATCCACACACATTTTCTTTAGGCTCGATGATCACTATTATTAGCATTGGTCTCACTATCACTATTCAAAATATTTTTATTTTATTTTATTTTTATCGGGTTTATCTGCAGATTTCCTCTCAGCTCAATGATTACAATTACTATTGCCATTATATCGTTACTATTGTTTTTATTTCTATTTTGATTATTTTGATCATGGTCAGGAACTCTTGATATATATATATATATATATATATATATATATATATAGTTTTTTTTTGTAATTTTATATATATATAATATATATAGTTTGTTTTGCAATTTTAAGACATGTTGTACCATATTTTAGCCTTTTTCATAATCGACATAATGTTCACATATATATATATATATATATAAGTATACATACATATATCTATCTATCTGTGTGTGTGTTTTCTTCCTTTTTTTCTCTCTTTCTCATATATTTGTTGTTTCTCTGTATATTTTTTATATTTTTTTAATAACCCCGAAGAAGGGAGAGTCTTTTCTCCCGAAACGCGCTGACTTGATGTACTTGTTGTTACTCTCAATAAATGCCTCCTAATCTACCATCAAAAGTGCATTATTTTGGACATCGGGAACTCCTTTTTTTCTACTATTCCATGCATTAAAAGAGCATACATTACAAATATAAATCATTACTCCTACCTCTTTACAAAATTACTAATGAAACATATATATAAAAATTATTATATAAACACCCTTTTGTGCTCACCACTATATCAACTGTAAAGAAGAGCTAGCACTCAAATCCCAACAGTAATCAACAGATATAAGAAATACTCATATAGTGCAACACAAAACACAATATATGAGTCCTTATTTTTTGTATTATTTATTTATTTTTTGTACATCATGCATTTATGTTGTATATTAATTTGGGTATATCTTTTTTCATAATTAAGGTTATATTTGTTATATGATTAAGATACGGTCCATTTAAGGGTCATACTGTGGAGGTGATCTCTGTATTCATTATTATGGACACATTATTCAAGTTTATAATGTAGGAGTATATTATACTTATTTATTTATTGTTATATATAATTAATCCATTTATACGTCTTCATATATATAGTTTGACCTTGGTATGTTGAATATTATATTATGGTCTTTCAAAATTGGGAGATATTATAGTTATTGGCATCTCTTTTACGTACCTGGTTATCTAAAGCTTAATTAACATAAATACCTTTAGTGTAATATATCCAGATTTAATATGATTGGACAGTTAGGGATTTCCAATATTCATTAGGGAGGTGGTACATGTCCTAGTGAGGGCCGAAGTGCAACAGAGCCAGCACATAAATATGAGTATAAGGACACTTCAGCCATCTTTGTTGAGGACAGATTGCCTGGCCTACTTACCACAGTTGTGTGGGTATACAGCAAGGAGTGTGCTGTCAGTCTCCAAACCCCTGATGAAGTCCGAGTTACGTAATGTGTAGGGCGGAGACTGATTATGCACTAGCCCGAAGGGATGTACACATCTGGACTTGCATGGTTTACTTTATGTAGTTGGAGAAGGAGAACACAGCAGGGGATCAGTCTAGTATCCCCTGCTGAAAAGGAACAGAGGCATCTGTGTGCAAGAGGCCTTAAGTGTTTGTTAGGGTATATACAATCCAATGGGAATGCAAAGAAAATGTCCAAGAGTCCAAGTTTTAAGGAATAAAAAAGTTTTTTTTTCTGCTGATTTTATCCCAGCTTTGTCAGCTCTACCTCTAATCATTTGTGGCTGGGGCATTCCCTACCCCACAGCTGAATGTACACAAATTGATGGGGATGCCTATGTCATCATTGACTTAATATTGCCACATTTGCCCAATGTCTGGTGGAAGGTGTAAATCTCAGGACAGAATTGGTGGAAATTTAAATACTCTTTCAATTAAAAGAACTTACAAGTATATTTAAATTATGCAGACAAACAAGATCAGCACCGCATCAAATTTAGAGGCGCAATGTGCCTTGCCTTAGAAAATAATATAATTCTGTGTCAACATTGCACAAGAAAAACACATTTTCTGCTAAAACGTCTTCACAATATCATCATAGTAGAGAGGACCAGTGTATCACAAGGTTTTACAAGGATAAAAACATTTCAATACCATAAATTCCCCAACAAGCAGGTTATTTGCAAAAAAACAAAAGACACAAAAACAAAGAAAAAAAAACAGCAACAAATTTACAAATATAAGATACCTTTCCATATAAAGAGAGTATAACAAATTAAAAGTGTAAATGTGAAATTTTTTTTAATAAAATGCATTGTTTGGAAAATGTAAATGTACTCAACCAGTTAATAACCAATTCTCTCTGCAGCACCAATGAACCAACAAGTATCTGGAAGAGATGGATTCAGAGAGTACAATATATTAGAGAGATGGATGCAGGGAATACAATATACTAAGGACCTTGTATCATCACGTCATTCATTTATATCCAGCTTCTTGGTATTCGCTATAGATGAACAATTTATGTACAAAGTATAATATTTTGTCCACCTTTTCCCCATTTCTGTGAATGAGAGAGGACATGTCTCTTTGTCTGTTATTGAGATGTTGTAGAGTTTGAAAACTAAATGTCCGATCAGACCTTGTCCACTGTGTAGCAATTTAAAAAAAGTTAAAGATGGGCTCTTAGTGGGAGGAGAGATGCGAGGAAATGATGGAGTGGTAGAGTCCTCCAGAAGCCCAGGGCTGTGTACACAAGATCGTATTGTGTAGGGAGGGCCAAGCAGAGCCCAAACCAAAGATCCATTGTAGCTGATCTGTGTTGAAAAATTGGATCAAGTAAGACAGTAAGAAAGGGTTGCCCAAGACCTGGTATAGCGGTGACAGAACAGGTAATATTTGTGAAAAGGTATAGCACTTTGAGTAGGCTGCTAGCATGGTTCCTAGTGCGGGATGGGATTTCAGGCTAAGGTAACATGTGTGGTGCACTAAGAAGCATAATGTAGGTAGACAGCTGTTTCATTAGACCCATTTTTTCAGGGTACTGTGTCTGCACCAGTTAACTATTCAGTTTGGACGTGTAGCTAAAAAAATATAATGAGATATCCGTTAGGCCAGGTCCTCACTGACATTTGGACAAATGAAGAATGGGTTGATGGGTTGTTGCTAGTCTGTGGATGCCTACAATTAGAGATGAGCGAAGAAATGAAAAATTCGATTCGACTGATTCGGCGAATTCGTGGACAATATTCGATTCGAGTCGAATAAATTCGCTGTGAATTTAACTTAAAAAAGGGTGTTTCTAGGCTTCAGAGAGACTTAATATTAGTGCAGAACACTGTACCTTTAATTTAAATGCCCTTGGAGTCTGCTGGGGAAGAGAAATAATACTGTCACTCAGTATGACATGCAGAGTGCCGTCGATCTTAGAATCACCGCACACTTCACTCATTTGGCCAGTCACGGGGCCAAAACCAGTGTTTGGAGCCACAGTGTGGCGGTGGAGTCAGCAGCAATGGGAGGCCATACAGCAACCTATCACAAAATGGAAACCAGCAGGAGTGTGAGGAGACCTGAAAGTGGCACATGCAGTGGGAGCAATGGAAGGCGGTACAAGGACCCATGTCACACTGTGGACCCAGCAGCAGCGTGACCAGGCGGTACGGGGGCCCATGGCAGATTACAGGCCTGGCAGCAGCAATGGGAGGCCCGTAATCTGCCAGCACCCTATGACAAAAAATGGAACACACCAGCAGTGTGTGAGGAGACCTGAAAGTGGCACATGGCAGAGTGTGGCGATGGAGACAGCAGCAATGGGGAGGCCGTACAGGGACCCATGAGAGACTCTGGACCTGGCAGCAGCATGAGGGAGGCGGTATAGGGGCCCATGGCAGATTAGGGGCCTGGCAGCAGCTATAGGAGGCCCGTAATCTGCCAGCACCCTATGACAAAAAATTGAACACACCAGCAGTGTGTGAGGAGACCTGAAAGTGGCACATGGCATGAGACACTCTGGACCTGGCAGCAGCATGAGGAGGCGGTATATATAGGGCCCATGGCAGATTAGGGGCCTGGCAGCAGCTATGGGAGGCCCGTAATCTGCCAGCACCCTATGTCAAAAATTGAAAACACAAGCAGTGTGTGAGGAGACCTGAAAGTGGCACATGTTTGGGGCATGATTCATGGCGGATTTAGTCAGTTGTGTCAGGAACTAGTGGTTTGAAATCCAGACTAATCCACGCCTGATTCATTTTCACAAACGTGAGTCTCTCCACACTTTGGTGGACAGTCGTGTCCTCCGCGGAGTTGCAATACCTCCTGCCGCACTAAACACGCGCTCCGATGCCACGCTACTGGCCGGGCATGACAGCCTTTCAAGGGCAAATTCAGCTAGTTGGGGTCAAAGGTCAAGTTTCGTTGCCCAGTAGTCAAGGGGATTGTCTACCTCGGTTGGGCAGGGTGCTGTCCAAGTAGGCCTAAGCCTGTTGTTTTTGAGGTCCTGCTCCAGGTCCACCTGATGCTGCTGCTGCTGCGGCTGGTTTAGTAGTTTCCTCACTGCGCTGGTGAAGAAAGCTACTCATCATCGACTGCAGACTGGAGGCAGCCACTGCTGGTGGAGCTGCCACTGCTCCTACCACCCCACCCCTCCCCTGCTGCCCATGGACAGCGGAACGCGAGAGCACAGGGCCCATCAGTGTCTGAGGGATGGACGTTGGCGCAGAAAGGCAGAGACCAGCTGACTACATAGGTGGTTTTTTTTTAGTACGTTATTTTGGCCTCCCTCTCAGCAGGTGTGAAAAAAGGCCACCATTTTGAACGCTAGCGAGGGTCCTACAAGGTGGACAGCCAAAAGTCATCCCCTCTGTCTGATGGTTATTATTCGGCTGTCGCTACGCAAAGCAAGCTTCCCGTCCTGCCCCCCCAGGGCAGGGCGTTGAATCTGTGCGCCACTCTACCGCACCCGACCAGCCATTGTTAAAAGCATTTTTTCCCCGGACTCAACAGAGGAATTACCGTTTATCCCCTAGTCCTGCCGAC